CCCGGGTATTTCGAGAGGAAAGGGGGCATCCTCCGGCCAGTGTTCCAACGCCAACGAAATGGCCTCGGCGTTGTTGTCGAAGTAGACGTAGCCTGCGACGCCTGTTCCCAGGAGTTCGGCTTCGTCGAGCAAATTCGCAAGCGCGTTATGACCGCCGCCGTACACGACGACGATGCCGCCAGGGACGACGTCGTCGAGCGATCGCGGCGGAAACGAGATGACGTTGACGTGATCAGACGAAACAATGGACGTCGGAGTATGCACGGAGATCGCGGCTGCGACGATATCGTCGACCCACGACCAGGAATCTATGTCGTCGTCGACGTCATTTCGGACCGCCGGCGGGGTGCCAAATCCAGGTTCCGCGGTCTCTGCTGAGGCGATGGCGCCAAGAACAGTCGCCACTGCCGGATGACGCGGATCGAGGCCCGCCGTCACGTTCGCAGCCCGGGCGAGCTCCACGAGTACGACGTTCAGAGCGTCGTCTGTCGCCGCGCCTAGAAAGCACCATTTCCACTTGTCAGCTTTGTAAGACGTCCAGGTAGTAGCTGTCGTGGCGTCAGCGCCGAAGACGGCGGCCGAGGACTCGAGAGGCGTCCAGGCGAGGTCGACGCGTTTGTCGACGAATCGTCCGTACATGTGGAGGGCAGCCATAGCCACGCGTCTGCAGCTCGACGAGCCGCGGTCCGCCGCCAATACGCGAAGAGGAACGTTGAAATCTTCGCTGCCTTTACGCAGAAAACTTGCTCGCCGGGACGCCGATGCCGTGACACACTGGGAGATGGCAATGGCCAAATCGAGTGGCGACGCGGGTGCTGTCGACGTCCCGTCGTGGCCGTTGTTCGCACATAATTGATCTGCAAGTAGCAGCGCGTGTAGTGCAGCTGCTAGAGCCCGCGCTTGCTCTCGTGCCGCCTGCTCGTGCTCGGCAGCTCGACGAAGGACACGGGCGACAAATTGCTCGAGGTCGGTAGACGACGGGTTGCCGTCGAGCGAAGTCCGAGCGACGACGGCAAACTCGTGCCAGCGCCCGCACGTCTTCACGGCGAGGTCGAAGATATGCTCGACGTTGGCCTCGAAACCGTCGAAGGGCAGGTCGGCTTGTAGGGCGTCGTTGTTTTCGCTTAGTATGGCCAGGCGAGCGGCGGACGTCGCCGCCTGCTCGAGGACGCGCGCGTCCGCGGACGGCGTCGCGAAGCCGTCGAGGAGCTTGCGAGCGAGCAGTGCGGATCGCTGTCGTCCCAGCTCCGCTCGATGAGCTGCAGCCCCCAGAATGTCGCGCACCTGCTGTTCTGTCGGCACCAGCGGGCAGTCGTAGGCGCTCGCAGACGTCGTGGTGCTATTTCCAGAAAGTTGACTAGTCGGAGTTTCTAGCACCAGGCTCGAGGATGAGCTGCCTGTCGGAGACGGGCTATTGGAACCTATAGTTGCTGAGACGGGCGTCGGTGCATGGTGCGATGAAGAGAGCGTCGTCGAGGGACGCTCGGACGAATAAGACACCAGCACCTGACGACGGGATCGGTACCTTTGGCCCGACGGGTCGACGAAAATCGTGTCTCCTCGTCGAGTAAACTCGACAGTCCAGTTTTGTAGCGTCGCAGTTTGTCCGTGGATTCGCAGGTAAGTTCGGAGCGAGTCGAGCTTGACATGCGGATGCGCTGCAGCGTGAGGTGTTGGAGCCGCTCGTGCACGCTTGTGAGGCGTCTGCGCGTCACGTTCCACGTCGTCGACTTCGACGTCATCCAGGTAGGAGCGGTTACGCGCGCAGGCCCGCACGGGCGGCTGTGATACAAATGTCGACGACCACTGGTTTGCTGCCAGTTGCTCCTCTTGATCTCGCACTGGCCGGTTGTCGAGATGAACACGCAACGATGGAGGCAGGCTTACCGGCGCGGAGGTGCGCTCGAGTATCTTCGGTGTCGTGTTCATCGCGTACGAGTCGGTGCGGCTAGCGTTCGCGGGCTGCCGACAAAAAAATGAGGCAGCCTCTTTTTTCGAGCAAGTCACAGTATCATAAGATGTTTATATCATATCGAGCTAATACGACGTTGAACATCGCGGCAGCTCGCGTCGACGACGCTCGCGTCGAGTTCGGTTGCGGCGACACGCTCGATGCTCTCGGCGGAGATGGGCGGCGTGGTAACACGCTACGGTGATTACAAGCTAGCACGCGCGTCGCTCGTACACTCGTA